GGGAGCAGAAAATATCGTCCGTGCTTGATCTGCTTGACACACGGTTAGACCCTCGTGAAGTCGAGAAAGCCAGGGATGTTCAGATGGCAGCGCTAGTCGAAAAAGACTTCGCTAAACCGAAGCTGAAAGCAGACATGCCACGGAAAGCGAAGCTTTTCAATTTCAAATGGGTCGATGAAATCAAACGTGGAGTATATCGTTCCCGCTTCACATGTGCGGACATCAAGAAAAAGTACTCCAAAGAGGAACTTGCCGAAGAAACCAACACGTTTGCACCAACTCCGTATGAAGAATCCCACATTCTTCTCGAGCTCAAGTGCCTCGTTAACGGGTGGCACTCCCGCTCCGGAGACGTCAGGCGTGCGTATCTTTTCGGCACAGACTCAGGTGACAGTAGCGGTCAGCCAGTGTTCATGCGCATGCCTCCCGAGTACCTGCCGCATTTTTATGCTTGGTTGGATGCCCAAGACTCCGAAACCAAAGCCTTGTACTTTTTTTTAAGCCTTGTACTTATCGGTAGATCCGCTGAAAGACGTGGCGTTGGAACTTGTAGGAAACCTGTATGGCAGGCGCCCTGCCGGAAGCAACTACCGAAAGGAGTTTGAAGACGTTGTCACGAATGGTTTGGTCAGCAAGGGGTACCAGTTCATTCGGGGCACCCGTGACCCAACAGTGTACACATGTTGCAAAACTGACGCGACGCTGTTGCACCACGTTGACGACACTCGTCTAGGGGCGTCAGACAAGGACCTTGAGTTCCTACAGTCAGACGAGGGTCTCGGCAAATACTTCGACATGAAGAACGGTGGCATCGAGACACCAGGCACCAAAGTCAACGTTTTGGGCCGAACAAAGTTGCGAACCCAAGACGCGTTCTTCACACTCCCTGACCCCAAACATCGCGAAAACGTGCTTACGTTGCTCGACCTCTGGCACGCAAAGCCATCGAGAGTCGCTGGTGAGCGCACACAGCGCACAGAAAGCAACACGCAACCTATCGACGAACAACGTGCTGAGTTGCAACGAGACACATAGGCCGCACTCAGAGCCGACCGCACGGCAGCGTGCGCTCGAGCAGCTCGCGCCCGCGCAAAGAGGCGTAGCCCCGGCTTCGCGGCAAACACGGGCAGCAGCACACTCGAGCGGGAAGCCACGGGAAGGGAGCGCAAAACGTTAGAGCGGGGGCAACAACCGCGTGGCATCTCTGCTTCATGCTGGTCGCTCGAAGCAGCGCCAGCTTGGAAATGAATGCAGAGATGAGGGGCACCTGATTTGCCATTGGGATTGGATGCACAGCGGCATGGCATCTTGGTTTCACGCTGGTGGGGGTTTAACCAGTGCCCGACATGAATGTACACTAGGCCACGAATTGAGTCGCGAGCGGAGAAAAAATGAATCCCACGCTACGCTCGTAGCTGTAATAAGCGCCCGCTCGGAAATAATTGCGCAAGGCCGCGTGGCATCTTCAAACGAAAGCACAACCGAGCGGCATGTCGGTCTGACGCTGGTGGTTTGACTCAGCTTGCTTTGCAATGAATACACAGCCGCATGGCATCTCGGCTTCATTCAAATGACTGCACATCCGCGTGGCGCGTCGGTTTTATGCTGGTCGTTCATCAACATCCGCGTCAAACTGGATGCACAGCCGCGTGGCGTCTCTGCCTCACCTTGGTGCTTTGAACCAGGACTTGCTTGGATATGAATGCACAGCCGCATGGCAAGTCGGCTTCACCTTGGTGGTGTTCTCGCGAACGCCAAGACTGAAATGAGTGCACAGCCGCAAAGATTTTCGGTGTCGCACTGGTGCTTTGCACCAGCGCCCGCTCGGAGATGCGTGCACAGCCGCCTGGCATCCTGGTTTCGGAGGTGGTCGTTCGAGCCAACGCCCACATGGAAATGACTGCACCACCGCGTGCAATCTCTGCTTCATGTTGGTCGCTCGAAGCAGCGCCCGCTTGGAAATGAATGAGCGGCACCTGAATTGCGATCAGGACTGGATGCACAGCCGCATGGCATCTTGAAGCTTCAATGAACATAACATCTGATTCGCCCATGGAAGTGAACGCAACGCTAGTTTTGTGGTTTTAACAAGTGCTTGCTTCGTAATGATTGCACAGCCGCTTGGCATCTCAGTACCCGCTGATGGTTGGTATCAGCCTGCTTGGCAATGAATGCAAAAGCGCATGGCATCTCGGCTTCATTCTAGTGGTTTTAGCCAGCACGTGCTTTGAAATGCGCGTGGCATCTCGGGTACCGACTGGCGGTGTGCATCAGCGGGCGATCGGAAATGACTGCACATCCGTGTGGCACATCGGTTTTGCGCAGGTCGTTTTTCATGAACGTCCGTGTCGAACTGGATGCACAGCCGCGTGGCATTTCTGCTTTCAAACTACCCAACACCTGCAAAAAAATGTATGCACAGCCGCATAGCATGTCGGCTCCACAGTGGTGGTGTCGCAGTCAACGCCAAAATTGAAATGAATGCAGTGTGTTTCGCGCTGGTGCCAAGTCAGCATTCCGCGACATGCCGCCTCCACCAGATTTCTTCTGCCCACACTTGGCGGAGCCCGCCGACGAGCCTACTCCAGTGCCAGTTCCAGTCGGAGAACCCCATGCCTCAGCCAAACAAGCCTGGGCCGATGCCACGGACGAAGCCGACGATGTCCCGGCGTCAGCGGCCCCGGAACAAAGCCCAGACACAGCTCGCCAGCCCAATAAACGGCCAGCTAATAAATGCCCGCCCTCCTTCGACACCCAACAGTCCGGCCTGTCCCGGACCAGGAATACCTGCCCAAGCCGGGGGAGCCTGCCATCCCGGTCAAGGCTATACCGACTGTCCCCAATCGCCTACAGTCAATCCACCTCCACCCAAGGCGGACCCGGCACAGCCTTCTCGTCTTCATGCGTGCGCAGCCGCATGGCATCTCTGCTTCATGCTGTTCGCTCGCAGCAGCACCAGCTCGGAAATGAATGCAAGCACCTGAATTGCGATTGGGATTGGATGCACAGCCGCATGGCATCTTGGTTTCACGCTGGTGGGGATTTAACCGGTGCCCGACATGAATGCACGCTAGGGCACGAACTGAGTCGCGAGCGGAAATGAATCCCACGCTACGCTCGTAGCTGTAATAAGCGCCCGCTCGGCAATAATTGCACAGCCGCGTGGCATCTTCAAATGAGAACACAACCGAGTGGCATGTCGGTCTGACGCTGCAGCCTGCTTGGCAATGAATGCACAGCCGCATGGCATTCCGGCTTCATTCGGTGGTTTTAGCTAGCACCCGCTTTGAAATGAGTGCATAACCGCGTGGCATATCGGCTACACACTGGTCGTGTGCATCAGCGAGCGATGGGAAATGACTGCACATCCGCGTGGCAAGTTGATTTTATGCTGGTCGCTGTTCATGAACATCTGCGTCAAACTGGATGCACAGCCGCGTGGCATCTCGGCTTCATACTGGTGGTTTTCGCCAGCACCCGCGTTGAAATGAGCGCATAACCTCGTGGCATCTCGATGACACACTGGTCGTGCGCATCAGCGGGCGATGGGAAATGACTGCACATCCGCGTGGCACGTCGGTTTTATGCTGGTCGTTGTTCATGAACATCCGCGTCAAACTGGATGCACAGCTAATGACAGCATGGCGATTCACAGCGCACTGAGCTGCGACGCCATTGCCTAGACGTCGAGTCTTACTTACTTCTAATAATTATCCCTCACAACACAGGAGGGTTCGTACGCACAGGCAGCTACGAGCCTGTGGCAGGGAGAAACTGTCTATACTGCCGCCGGGAACGGGGCCCACCGCAGGCAGAAACAAAAAGAAAGGCGCCTACAAAAGCGACTGTACCTGCCTACAGCGTCGAAGACATGCGGGGGAGCGGCAGGCCCTGAAAACCGGTTGTACAGAAAGGACCGGCGGGCAGGCCTGCTCCACCCAGGCCGAGGTCGACTAGAGAAAGCCGGTCACGGGGCAGAGGCTTGACAGACCCAAGCGGAGGCCATGCAGAGCTTACGGCTCAACGAACAGGGCAGCGGGCCCAGGGCCACAGCCGCGTGGCATTTGTGCTTCAAAGTGGTGGTTTGAACCAGCACGTGCTTGGAAATGAATGCACAGCCGCATGGCATGTCAGCTTCACATTGGTGGTGTCGCAATCAAGGGCAAAATTGAAATGAGTGCAGTCGGTTTCGCACTGGTGCTTTGCATCAGCGCCCGCTTGGAAATGCGTGCACAGCCGCGTGGCATCCTGGTTTCAGAGCTGGTCGTTCGAGCCAGCGCTCACATGGACATGCGTGCACAACCGCGTGGCATCTCTGCTTCATGCTGGTCGCTCGCAGCAGCGCCCGCCTGGAAATGAATGCAGAGATGAGCGGCACCTGAATTGCGATGAGGACTGGATGCACAGCCGCATGGCATCTTGGTTTCACGCTGGTGGTTTTGGTTCTAACGAATGCACAACCGAGTACCATCTGATTCGCCCATGCAAATGAACGGAACGCTACTTTGGTGGTTTTAAGAAGTGCTTGCTTGGAAATGATTGCACAGCCGCGTGGCATCTCAGTTTTACGCGGGTGTGTTGATCAGCCCGCTTTGAAATGAGTGCGAGACCCGTCTTGGCATTGAATGCACAGCCGCATGGCATCTCGGCTTCATTCTGGTGGTTTTAGCCAGCACCCGCTTTGAAATGCGTGTGGCATCTCGGTTATGTGCATCAGCGGGCGATCGGAAATGACTGCACAGCCGCGTGGCATGTCGGTTTTGCGCTGGTCATTTTTCATGAAGGTCCATGTCGAACTGGATCGGCTGGACGCACCCACCTTTGAGCCGCAAGCTTTGGTGACGCATCCCACATGAAATCGGAGCAGCTGACGGCAGCAAAAGACAATTTGTAGACGTTTGCGATGGCTGGACACAGCCACATTGGCGCCAAATTTTTCACATCAATCCAAGCTTCGGTGGCCCATTCAACATGAGGTGGTGACGGCAGCTCGAAACACTTTGTGGACATTTCCGATGGCTGGACACAGCCGCCAAGGAGCCAAAATGTTGATGCGAAGCTTGGGTGACACATCCCGCATGAGATGGGAGCATGCGTCGGCATCACGAAACATGTTGTACACATGTCCGATGGCTCGAACCAGCCACATGAGCCATAAGTTTCACAGCAATCCAAGCTTTCGTGACACATCCCACGTGAAATCGGAGCAGCTGACGGAACATACAAACCAAAATCTTCACAACAATCACAGGTTTGGATGCATCCCACACGAGATCGGAGCAGCTAACGGCAGCACGAAATGACGAAATACTTTCTGGACATTTCCGACGGCGGGGAAAATCTTCACACCAATGCGCGCCTTCATTGCTCAGCCAACCGCAGGACATCGGGCAGCAGACAGCGACGTGACACAGTGGGGACATTCGCCCTGGGCAAGAGATAGCCCGTCAGAGTCGAAATCTTCACACCAAGCCAAAGCGATTCATGCCTCCCACAGCAAGAGACAACCGCCACAACCACAGAGGCAAAGCCTTCACACCAATCCAAGCCTTCATGACGAGCAGCCGGCGCCCGACAGCACCGATCCAATCACGATTGAAGTCGTATCATTGGTGCTGTTGGACGGCCGGCCGATGCAGTGACGAGCGACGATTGGCGGCCCATGCCTAGACTCGCGCCTTGCACACGAGTGCCGCGAAGTTGGAGGCGTTTCAAACCCGGACCGTGTTGCCGGCAGAAATGATACAAAGGACAACACAACCTTCTGCCGGCGATGGCACATCCGATCAGGGCTGCGGTCATCCTGAACACCCCACGGCAAGGTATGGTGGCAACAGCAATCACGAAACCTTGCAGTTGCGGTTGTTGAGTCTCTCAACCGACTTGCCCCGCTTTGCAGCGGCACGTCTGTCTTGCTTTAGATTGCAGATTTCTCACATACTGCTACCCAACCAACGTTTTCTCTGGTCCGTCTGTCTGCGAGATGTCGGCTTCGGCTGCAAAGGACGTTGCCGAGGAAGGCGAGCCGGCGGTGCCCTAAACCCCGAATCACTGCGTGGCCCCACCATATGAGCAGCGGACGTGTCGTCACTTCGTCTTGTATTGAAGCAGTTTGTGACAGACCAGTTTGCGTCGCCATCGACTGGCTGGATACCTGGGTTCACTCGAATCGTTCACACCGTATCATTCGCTTGAGTATTCACTAGCTGAATTCGACCACTGCATGTGTATACCTCACTTTCTCGCTCTCTCGCTCAGTTGCGCTCAACATCACTCATCCCTACACACACAACACACACAACCACACACACACACACAACTACGGCTGTCCCCGCCGCCTCGCATTTCGCGACCCTGTTAGTTGATTGACTCTCCGCGGATGTGGCTGTAGGGTTGAGTAGTCCGATCCCTGCTTCCCTCTTGGAGGGTCGAGGGCACAACGTGCAAGCAAAATATCCAGACCCCAATGGTTCCTTCTGATTCCTCCCTGTCTTTATAGTTTGCAACAGACACGCCTAGTCACCAGTCAAGCTTAGTTGCACGATGTGTAGCTCCCGGCACGTCTGCGGCACACGCCTTTATTTTTGCCGCGAGCTCTCGAGCCAAGGTTAGATGGTGACGGCCACGGCGAAATGCCGGAGGCCAGCACTTCTCCGCGTAGCCCGCTGCCCGTTGCTGACTCGACGAGCCTGAAAGGTCCCTGAACGAAGCCTCCTGAATGTTGCTCCATGCTGCTCTGTGCTGCTTCATTACGGAAGGGTGTGGCAGAGGCCCTGTCAACACAAGCCGCACGCGTGTCTAGACGAAAAAAGGCCGGGTCGGGAGCGGCGTCATAGGCATTCTACCTTGTGCTACTCGAGACCGAAGAGCATAGCTTGCAGCTAAGGCTAAGGCGAAACAAGATGAGGGAGTTGATTGCCTATGACGCTCCACTGGTGGCCACGGCTGATGACAGCTGTGCGGCAAGGCCCAGCGACCAAAACCAAGAGGCTTGGCCGGTGGCGGTGAAATCAAGGAGCTCAATGCTTTTGCTGATCGCTTTGCAATAGAAAACATAGCTGGCAAATCCGCGGAACGAGCAGGCACTGGCTGCGGCTCTTCTGTCTGATTGGGGGGGGCTTCTGACTTCCTGGGATAAGGAAAGCAACAGCCAGGCCTGTGAAAGCTACAGTTTAGGCTTCTCAGAAGAAGCCCTGTCATTGTCGCCAGGGGAAAACCTCTCAGCTTTGGGAGCAGCCCGCTTCGTCCTGTGACCAGAGCCCGTGCTTCCATGAGGGGAATTTCTCATGAAGTGCGCCCCCCCCACTCCTCGGCCTCCCCTTCAGGTGGGGCGCTCTTCGGGACCGCCTCCGCCTTGGGCGCCGGCGCCTGCAAAAGGCTTGCGATTTTGCTGAAGCCCTTTGCTGGAGCCCTTTGCTGAAGGCCATCTCTCGGCGGCCTCTGCGGGGACGCCCGCTGCCGAGAAGTTCGGAGCGGGACTCGGACTCGGGGCGCTGGGCTTCTTCGGCACCACCAGCCCTGCGGCGCTCGGGGCCGCCGGGCGCTGCTTCGGCGAGGCCTAAAGACACGCAAAGACACGCAGAGCCCACGCAGCCCAAAGCCCAAAACACCGCTTCGCATGGCGCCTGTGGCTTCGGAGCCGGAGCGGACTTCGGCGCCGACGCCTTCGAGGCCGCCTCCGATTCCGATTTCGTCGCTCGGCCCTCCCTCCGCTCTCTCGCGGTCTCTGCTTCGGCTCGGGCCTTAGCGGCCGGGCCGCCGCCGCCGCCTGGGGTCTTGGGAACCGCCTTGCAGGGACCCGTGGAAACGCCAGGAAAAAAAAAGCCTTTGAGACAGCGAGGCGAAGCGGGGCGCAGCGGCGCAGCGGTCCGGCTAGCGCTCGCCTTGGCCGCCTGGAGCTTCGCCTGGGCCGCTGCCTGCAGGGCCGTTGCAAGGCGACATGGCGCATGTTGTCATTCATCCGACGGGGCCTTGACGACGGTGGCCATATTCCGTGCAGCTTGCGATGTCGCAAGCCTGCGCAAGGGGCTGTGCAAGACTCAAGCGACCAACATCGAAGACAACGCTTCGCAAGCATCTTGGCATTCTTTGTCCGCTGTGGCCGAGGGCGCCCGGACTCGGCAGCGCACGCTGCAGAAACCTGCCACGCCAAGGACCGCAAAAGACGAGCACAACACAACCAGACCAAGTGCACACATCGCAAGCCTAAAAAGGGGCTTAAAAGCAGGTGAAAGCCGATCTCGAAGCGACCGGCAACGCAGCCGCACCTTGGACCGGCATCGCCGCCGTCATCTCCGCGGGCTTCGCAGAGCTTCGCCCGGTGCTTCGGCTCGCTCGGGGTCAGTGCGAGGAGGCCACGGAGGCCACACGGGCATAGGCCAGGGAGGACCTTCAGGAAACCGAAGTCTGCAGAGAGGGAGCCGGATGGAGCATTGCAAGCAAGCGGCCCCACCACCATCAGCGCCGAACAGTTCAGGCGGCAGCTCGATTTGGGCTGCTTGTCACTGGCCTCATGGGAGTCGCAGCACGAAGCATACCTTTGGGCCCCGACGCGGCCAGGCGGCATAGGTCAGGGACATGAAGTAAATGATCGCCACACCTTGGACGTGGAGGGATTGATTCTGAGACTCAACAGAGCGGCGGAGCTGCAACTGAGATGCAGAATGCCTTCATGATGGACTTCGTCAGCGCCGAGAACTCTTGCAACAGCCAATTGCTTGCAGTGGCATCCAGCATCAGCATCACCACAATGGCAACCTCGGAAAGACAGAAGCGGAAGGCAAACGGAAAGCGGGCAGCTTTCAGAGCCCCCGCAGGCCCTCCCCCTCCGTTCCCCACCGTTCGCCGATCCCAGGAGTCGAAGAGGCAGCCGGGGCGGCGCTGACGGTCGAAGACGTTCTCCTCCGCGTCCTCGGCTGAGGCTCAGTTGCCGTCTCTGGCCGCCCCATCCCTCATCCGACGAGCAGCGAAGCAGGGCATGATGAAGAGCATCGCGAAGTTCAGAAGAAGATATCCGAAGTCCTCCCCGGGTTTCCACGAGGTGCACCCATGGCACACGTGGCACGCTCGCCCGGAGCTGCAACCAGAGAGGGCCTCCGAGACCTTCTTCGAGAAAAATGGCTTGTCACCACCTCAACCAGGTGGAAGGAGACAAAACGAAGAGTCACGGAGAACCTTCCCCAAGCCTCAAGATGCCTTGTAAGGCAACTTCTAAAAGCCAGACCAAGCGACTCTTGTACGCACGCTCGGCAAACACGCCTTAGGATGGTTTCGGGAACGCTGGGAGCTTTGCCAGGCTGTGTCGTCTGAGTCTGCAACCGCCAAGCACATTCAACAAGATCCAGCCTGACCGGGCTGAAATGGTCACCTCTCCATGGGACTAAGAGATTCCCACGGCCTGCCAGCAGGAGCAGTCCTCATACAGCTTCTTCTGATCATCGTGCAGCGACATTGCTGAGAGGGTCCTCGAACATCGAGCTGATCGTTGTTGCCCTTGGTTTGCCGGCTCTGCTGCTCCTTCAAGGTGGTGACACCGTACTCTAGGATAGTCGAGATAAAGCCACTTGGCTTCCAGCCATCTGAAACGAGTGCCTTGCACCACATAAAGAAGAAGCAGCTGACGGCCACTGCAGCGATGGCCTGGTCAGTCGCTGTTCCGTCGAGATTATCATCACGGCATACGGGCGTACGGGCGTACGGGCATATGGCGCGAGTTGTGGCCCACTACATTGACGTGACGATTGGAAGTCATGACTCCGAATGGGAAACTGGATGACCTGCAGCTCCGAAGCTCGCATCGACCCGCCGAAGATTAACCCTCGGCCTCAAACTAGGCGACCAGGTTTCGAAGGTTAGATGGTCAGCCTGCCACTGCTCTCTGGAGTAGTGCCGCGAGAGCAGGTAGGTGGAGACCAGCGCCACCAGCGGAAGCCGCAGCCTGAGCACCGGCTCCACGAAAAGAGGCGCTGCGACGTCGCTTTCCTTGTTCCTTGCCGGAGCTCTGCCCGAAGATCTTGATCGTCCCTGCATTGAAGTAGCCGACGGCCTCGCAGAGAAGCGCAAGAGTGCCCAGAATTGTTTCTCCCAACCTCCGCACTTTCGCGAGGTTCCCGGCCCGCATCTTCATGGACATCCCCACGCCAAAGAAGAGACACACGGGGATGAACTCAAGGAACTTGTCACGATCCAGGCCTCAAGAGAAAGGCATGCCAACTCCTGAAAGCACCAGCCTTCGGCTTCTGGGAGCTCCCGTGTTCTGGGAGTTTGGAGCATGGTGGTATTTATTGCAGGCTCGAGCCGCGGCGGACTTTCCGAAGTGCGCCTTAGTTGCAACCTGGCAGCATTCCCACAGGGCGTCGAAGCCGCCCGAGCTTGCCTGCACTGCCAGGCCTTCAGCAAAAGGCAATCAGAACAGAAAGCTGGCAGTGCACAAGACGTGCCTACGATGATAGCCAGGAAGGGCTCGATCACGAGGACGGACTGTCCTCTGATGCACTACGAGTAGGGCCGCTAGGGCGATGGAGCGGCGAGCCGAGTGCCCCACGGCAAGCGCGGCCGAGCGGCGGACGTATCTCTTGCCCAGCTCTGCCTCTCCCTGGGACGTGCGCCCTTCGGCCCAGTCGATCACGTAGGCCTGGCCTGGCGTTCTGCTGCGTTCCCCTCTCCGCTTCTCTGGTCTCTGGGTCTCTGGGTCTCTGGGTCCGGGGGCCTATGTCGACGAGGCCGAAGAGGAGGAGGAAGAGCCACTTCTGCCTCGCCAGAGCGACCCAGACAGCCCCATACAAAGCTCGTCGCGTTCTGCTGCCCAGGCGCTTGTGGCCTGCAGGAGCCTCCGCAAAAGCCTTAGCGGGAGACACACTCACGGTACCACCCATGCCAGACGGAATGTGCAACCAATCCTCATCTCACATGTCGTTCCTATCGTTAACCGCTAGGGCCTAGGCCTAGGCGCCAGCGCCTGGAAGGCTAAACTCGCTTCTCGCTCGTTACATGTGCTGTTTCTGCTTCGCAAAGTTACCCCCTGTCTTCGTGGCAGTGGTTTGTCCAAGTCGTTGGTGAGGTAGTGGCACTCTTGCTCTTCGCAATTACACGCGCTCTCTATGTATAATGCATAGCTCGTTCCCACTGCCTAGATGTTTCTTTGCAGTCGTATTGCTGGCTATAGTTAGCTTTAGTTTGCTGCCGCTGCCTCCTTCAATCTTCGTTGCCTTCATCCCGTCAACCTTCTGTTGTTTCCTGGCTTGCAAGTCTCCTTAGTTGATAGCCCGTTGCAGGCTCCTTCTTTTCAGCCGGAGGAAGGAATTTCGACCGCTCTGGGCTCCTGGGGCGCCGGCCGTGCGTGCCTGCGAAGCATCCGGGTTGCTGAACTCTATGGTCTGTATGGTGGCCAGTAGACCGAGCAGTCCTTGGCTTCAGCCGCCAAAGCGCTACCACACAGCATTGGTATGGCCGGGCGTCCAAGGAGTCGAGCGAGCGACGAGCTCCGGCGCCGCCTCCCTGGGAATCCCATCTCCGGCATGGCAGCTTTGGCCAAGACTTCGGAGCATACGTGCAGCTTGCACTTGCAAAAACAAGGTCTAGTGACACTAGATTTGTCACAGCGTGACACTGAGTCTAGGTGAAGGACCCGCTGCACCTGCTGTCCAGACAGATGTACCACTTTCGGAAGTTCTCTGCAAGCAGTGTGGTGTGGGATAGATGTTGGCTGTCGTGCCGTGGGTGGTCTTGTCACGCCAAATGAACCATCTGGGCAGCTAGGCTCGTTGCCTGAATTCTGAGCTTGAAAGGGCATCAGCAAGAGTGTAACGCGTAGCATCTCTGGAAAGAGCTGGGCAAGCTGGGCTTCAGCCGGGCGCACTGGTTCAGCTGTCCCTGGCAAAGCGAGGAGACGTGGCAAGTAGGCAGGGCCCTTGGGGGGCGGTGGTGCCAGTCAGCTAGCCGTCCTAGTATGACCAACCGGGCTTGCCCGATGACCCTGCTTTGCACGAAACGGAGCCGGCGAGACAGCGAGCTTCGCCTGCATCGCCTGAGCGGCGGAGGGGAGGGATGTGCAAAGGCGCTTCCGACGCAGGGCTCACTTATAAGGGTACCGAAAACACAACGACCCAAGTCATCCGAAAGTGTCCCCATGGAGCAGCCCCATGGAGCAAGCCGAGCTCGCCTCCGAGAGGTTCGCTGCAGCTGCCTCGCGGGCTGCAGGGCTTCGCTTAGAGCCCGCATGGAAGGATTGCTGCAATGACTTCCGAAACAGATCGAAAAGCTGATTTGCATGCATTTGACGTGACATGTCTTTCTGGGTTGGTTATGGGCTATGGGTTGTTGTTTCTCAGAACCCACGCCTGTTGTTGTGTTTCCGATTCGGGCGGCTCTGCAAAGCGACAACCGTGCCTGCTGTTGTAGGGCTGTGTAGGGATCAAGGGAGCCATACCCACTGCCTGAAGCACTGTCAGCTGATTACTGCTATGTCTCTGGGCATACTGGGGCTGCAACCGTAGGCATTCATGTATGGATTCATATACCTGCGGCGTCAGCGAGCAGGAAAAGTCGCCAGACAGGCTGGCAAGAGCAGGTTGAAGCAGACTTGCCGGAGACATGCACGAGGGCACGCATTATACGAATTCCATGGCATCTGGCTGTAGGAACCTCGAACTGCGATGGCTCAGAGCACAAGGGCAATCCCACAGAAAAGTCAGCATGTTCCAAGAGTTTCACTCTGTCTGGCCGCAGCAGCTGCAGCTTGCATCCTTGGGCAACAATCCGTGAAATTTCCTCGACGAAACCACGAGGCGATTGCTCTGGCCAAGTCTGGCACCGTCAGCATTGCCACTCACCCCGGCACTTACAACTCGCAGCGTGAGAAAGATGCGGACGCGATAAAAAGATTTCAAGTTGGTCGCCTTTTTAGAGGACACTCGCCAAAGGCTATCGGCTATCGACGATGCTGCTTATCCGTCCTTGACTCTCTACAGTGGGACAGGACGCCATTTGCAGCCGGAGAACTGGGTCATGGCCTGCATGTAGGCTGCAGCCTGCGACAGAGCCGAAGCGTGGCCCCAGGCCTTAACGCCCTGTAGGAAGCTGCTCCGAAGTTTGTTTTCCAGCTTACTCTCTCGTCGGCTGCAAAAAGGTTGAGGTTGTTTGCTTCTGAATGCTCCATCTGCTGCTGTTACTGCACACACCATCATTGTTCGCATCGCTCGCATAACCCTCGTTTCCTCTCGCCGTTTGCTGGTTAGATTCGGATAGATGTTGCTGCACTACCCTTGCTGTTTTGATTTCACTCACAAGATGTTGACTGCTGGGCCTTTCCAAATGTGTGATAGCAGTCCAACAAAGCTGAAAGCCTAGCTGCTTTGCTTGTACAATTCTCGTCTTTCTGGCCGTTGGGCTGTTGGCTGTGGCAGAGATGCTGGGACCGTTGCAATGCTTTGTTCATGCAACCCTCTCTGAGGCCCTTTCGACGAGCCTGCATGGCGTGGGCCGCATTTCGGCCGTCCAGGGAGTTGGCCAGGGCCTGTCCAAGACCCGCAAACCTCTGCGTGCGCGGGGGGGCCGGGGGGGGCGGGATGCTCCAAACGGCGCCTGCTGTTGCAGGAGGGCGGCCTTAGAGCAGGGTCCGGGACGCCAGGGAAATCGATCTCGGCCTGGCGGCCTGGCCTGGGCGGCGGTAGGACTGGCGCTGGAGCCAGCTTTGCCTGGCCGACGGCGAGGCACCGTCCAAAACGAGAGGGAAAGTTGTAGCGACGAGGCACCACCCCAAAACCCTTGCGAAAGCAGCTGCTTCCTGGCTACTTCCCGGACCCTCGTAGTTCACCTTCTCGAATTTTCGGGAGACTGGAGTGCAAAGTCTTGTGAGCGGCCATGACTGGATAGCTCATTCCAAGGCTTTACGACAACAGGCACCAACAGCACCAAGCTTGACAGCGGCAACACTACCGCCACTGCCGCAGTACAGCTACCGGATGCAACACGTCTAAGCATGCTGTGATGGATTCGTGATCCTGCCCAAGAAACAATCGTCCACGACACTCTAAGGCTGTGAGAGCTCGCTCACCAAACGGGCCTGCGCTCAGGGCAGCGGCAGACAGAGTCGAGCTCCAATTGGTACTACCTGCAGGGCTTGCCATCTTTGGCTGATCAGGCGTGCTGAGCTGTGAGACTGTGAGACCCAGCAGGCCTGAGGAAGGTGTCGCTTTGCCTACGCGTCCCATGCCCGTGCTACGAGTAGCTCACCCCTCCTCACTGCTCCCTCTGCTCCTGAGGCCCGGTCTCATTGCCTCCAATTTCCTCGGAGCTGCCAGTGCAGACGTGTGCAGACTCTGATGGCTGCAAGCTTAGAAAGCTTTGAGACTTCACAGCGGCACAGCCGCTCAGCATGCTCAGCTCAGCCAAGGTGCGGCATGTTGCGCCCGAGCCACTTCTCGAAGGCTTTCTGGGCAGCGAAAGCAAAAAGCGAAGAGCGGTTCAGATTGAAGCGGCTTGCAAGAGCCTTCCCTTCCTCGTCCTCCTCGGCAGCGGCTGCATCACCCTCCTGCCGAGACCGTCCGGATTCGTTGTGCCTTGCGCTCTTCGCTTCCCGCACTGGGCCACTGGCCGTGAGCTCCGCCTGGGCTGTGCGGTGTGCGCCACCAGTCAGTATGAGCAGAGATGGAGGGGCCGGAGCCGAAGCTGAGTGGTGCACGGCTGCCGGGGCGGCCTCTCTGTCGACCTCGGGCACACTCCCAATCCACCAGGCCCTTGGAAGTCCGCACAGCCGGGTCCGTCGCGTCAGCATCCCGGCCCGCGCCCGTGGCCTGGCGACGAGATCGCTTGCGAAAGGCGCACGGAAGGCGTAGTCCGCGCTCCGCAGAAAGGCGCGCGGCGCCACGCCACGCCTTCGACCTCCGCCTGCTGCCCTCCTCCTCGCCCTGCTGGGCGCCTCGGCTCGGCTCGCCCGCTCCCGCTCCCCGCTCCGTCGGAGCGCTCAACCGACGGCGGCACCCGCCTTCGCCCTCCTCGTGCTTTTCCCGGCCGGTGGCGATTCTCGTGAGGAGGACCGAGTCCTCAAAAAGGGAGTCGCGGCGAGGCGGCGGCATTCTTTCGGCTCCACCCCCCCCCCCCTCTCTCCGCTCTCTGCCGCCTTGTTGTCCTTGTCAATCAAAGGGTCCAGGTCCGGCTTCACGTTGGAGGCCTGGCATGGAGCCGATGAGCGCATTCGGAGCGGCGGAGCTTTCGGCTCGGGTTCTTTTTGCGGCTCTTGGCGCTTCGCGGTTTCGGCTCCGAGTCCCCGGCCGCCAGGCGGGAGATCGACAGCAGCTGCCCCTCGCGCCGCACGCGAGAGAAACGGCGAACGGCGGCTCGACGGCTCGGCGGCTCGGCGGCGCCGGGCCTTCTCGTAGCGGATGATTTTCGGCCCGCCCGCCCTCAGCATCTTCATGATGGCGGCGGCATGCTCGTCCATCTCCTGAACACATCTCACGTCGGCCGGCGCAGCCGCTTGGCGTGCGCTTGCCCGCACTTCGCCTCCTCATCGCCGGAGTTCGGGCCCTCCGCCTCGGAGGAGCGGTGCAGCGTGCTGGAAAGCAGCCCCAACAAGCTCCAGGCATAGGAAGCCTCGGCCCCAGCGCCCTTCTTGTGCTTCCCTTTACCTAGAGGGCAGCACAAAGGAAGTTCATGCACATGCTGCGCAGGACGGCAGACAGCCTCTCCCCTTGCTTTTTCCGTCACCGTCCTGAGGCGGAAGGGTGGGAGTGCAGGCAAAGTCAAGCGCCCTCGCAGAAGTCTTCCGCGCGCCTCCTCCCCTCGGGCCTCGCGCCGGGGTCGTTCGCCTTTCCGCCTCAGGGAGAAGATCACAAGAGGACGTGACGCTGCTGGTCTTTTTCAATTTGCTCTGAGTCTGTGCATAACTCCGCGGAGACCATGCCGGGCAGCTGGCCCCTTTCCTTTCCCACCTTCCCTGGGATGGAAGAGAGCGTGACGCGAGTGACGTCTCCGCAAACCCAGCGCGCCTGCCCTTGGAGACTCCTTCCCTGTCCTCCCCATTCTCGGGCTCTTTGACTTTATCCTCAGTGGTACTGTTACCCGCTTCATGGAGGTTGTAGAAAAAGAGTGCAAGCATCGTCTCCGCAACGCCCTGAGCTCGGGCCGCGTCGGCTGGGGCGGCTCCTGCAGGAGCCTTTTTCACCTGAGTTGCGCTCCGAAGGCTGGGCAAGTCTCGGAAAGGGCACTGAGTCCTCCGACCCAGGCACTCTCCTTGCCCTCGCGCCCTCTTGGGGCCATCCTCGCAAGACTCAAGTGCAGAAGCAGAAGTGCCGGGAGGGTCAGCAGGGGCCTCTGTTAGTGGCCAGCTTAGCAAAGATATGCAGAAGCGGAGCCAATAGACCTCACATGCGCCCCGCACAGCCGCACAGCTCGGGGCTCTCCAAAGGCCTTAAATTAGAGGCTGCGGCGTACGGAGCGAGAGCGAGCCCTTAAGGTCAACTTGAGCCCCAAAGGCAGCGGAACACAAGTGCTCCGAGCTCTGCTCGGCGTTGACGCTCGAGGCGCCTCCAGGGCTCCAGGGACATCGAGAAACTCCTTTTCGACAGAAGCGCGCGAGCGGGGGAGAGAGAGAGGCCGGTGCCAGTACCCTCCAGTCACTGGGAGTCTCAGGGAGTCGCCATGACAGAGTCTTTGTGTTTTTCTTCGGAAGAGGAGGAACAAAAACAGTGGGAGTGGGAGATTGCAAGTTCTGCGAAGCGGACTTCTTTCAAAGGGCTTCAAGTTTCTGGCATGGCGGACAACTATTTGTCGTTGTCAGGAAGGAGGTGGGAACGAGGAGAGAGGGCCTCCAATAACCTGACGGTCTAAAAATACAACCGGGACGCCTGGGATGAGGAACTGAAGCGGCTTGGAGCAGCAGTTATGAAGCAATGAAGAGGTCACTATGAGGTTTTAGGTCGGCTGCTGTTCCGAAGCTCAGCCCTAACAACCAGCGCCCTGTCCAACATGAAGCCGGGCCTTGACCCTTAGGAGGAGGCCCCTGCTTTTGCCCAAGGCCCTTCGTGGTGGTTTTGGCCCGGCTTCCTTGGACATGTCTGCTCGAGCCTTGCAAGCTGACGAAGACGGACAAAGAGTTGGCGAATTCCCATGCATCACGCACGGCGTGAAGTACCCAGACTAAGTCTATCGCCCTCTTTCCCGCTAGTGGAGAAGATCCCTGTGTCTCACAATACCGTGCGGCGTGCAGCGGATACTTTCCTGATGCTTCCGAATTTGGTAGATACCTGGTGCCGGAGAGCAAAACAGGCCGAGAAGTCAGCGACTCCAACACACTCACTTATTCCAGCCTGAGAGTACTGCAGACGCTTTACGGAACAAGACCCGGCCAGGGCGGTTCTCCCGCACTAGGGTCTGTATCCCTCCAATCCAAGCCGGCGGCTTTTCGCGGGGGTCAATGAGGGAAGCACCGAAGCATCTATCCGGCTCCCCCCAAGTCAAGACGTCACAACCCATCCTAGCCTGAAACAGACATCATCTTCATCTATCATAAGCTACAGCAATGCCTAGAAACTTGGGCTCTCGTCTTTGTCGGATGTGTGGGACATCTGTGACTTTGGGGCTCTTTGCGAATTCAGGTCACGATGACCCGCTTCACCGGGCTCCTCGATCAGCAATGTCGCCTGTACCCTGCTGACTGAAACAGATCAGACTCACAGGCTCCCTTGCAGTTCCTCAAACAAGATCACGACTCCGGCCAAAAATCCCAGCAGCTGGACGACAGAGCTTAACCGTCATGCAGGTTCTCGGGCACACCATGAGAGGAGTGTTGGTGACCCGATTCCCGGTAAATGAACGACAGAGTCCCACCTCTGGGCGAGACATCTATGGATGTGTTTCAGACTTCTGTCCAACCGTCTTCGGCAACGACAGATCATGTTCACTTCTTAAACCCACCCCGGACTCCATGTTCTATGCGCAGTCCCCCGTGATGATGACTCCAGAAACTTGCTTGCATGGAGGAGACACATCTTCACGAGGGCCGATGGCATGGAGCTGGGGTGCTTGCTGAGAGAGAAGAGAACTTGGGCGGAAGAAAGGATTCGAGGCGTAGATCCACCGTCACCCTACACTAGTAGCACGAAGGCACAGCGAGAAATGAGAACTTGGGTCTGATTCTCTCTGTTCGGGACGAAGCGGTGGCACTAGCCGATCTGAAGCCCAAGGAGTAACTGCGGGAAGGTTTTCACAGGGGCAAATGTGGCAGGCAATATTGCCTTCACATACCCAATGCGATAGACCTGTAAAGTAAACTGATTTTTTTGTAAGTCTTCGGCATTGCCATTCGGTGCACTGCTAGGCTCAGCCGCTCTAGCGCTCAGAGCCCTCAGCCGCTGCATCACCAAAACTGTCCCTTCTGCTAGTGATGACCCAGGTAGCGTCCAGCACACCACAGTCTAGATGCAGTCTCATGCAGTCGGAAAGGAGATGTCTGAAACGCACATTGCAAAGCTTCATTCCGAGACTGCCTTCCTCGGACTGTGGCTGCTCCTGCCTGGGAAACATCTCATGCATTCTCCATTCTCCAGATTTGGAACCCCTTCGGCACAACCCCGTCGAAGAGGCGAAGATCCATTTCAATGTCCTGCAACAGGCGTCTGTTGCGGCGAAGATTGGAATGGTCACCCATCACTTGCCTTCGAATACCGACACCGTCGTTTCGGCACCTGGGCTTGTAGGGTGCTGCACACGGGCTCCCTCCCCTGACCGGGCCCCGAATCGGCGACTGCAGGGAGCCGTAACTTTTTCTTTCAGGGTGGCCACACCCATCAGAGCGCAGCTAAAGTCACAGGATGCGGAGAAGATTAGACATGCCATGGGGGGTGAGACAAAGCGAGAATAAGAAGTGTCTAAAAGCCGCGAGCTCAGTCCAAGACCTCCAGGAGACCAAGGCTGAGCAAAGTCATCAAAGCCTTTTAGAACTTAGCTCCTCGCCTGGCCGGGCAGGGAGGGCACCGAGGGCACCACGGCCATGGCTCGACCCTCCTCCGGGCCCTCCGGCGCCGCGCGGGGCCCGGGCCCCGCCTCCCCTTGGGGAGTCTCAGCGCCCTCGGAGAATCGAAGCGGAGAGGCACAGAACATTTCACAACTCGCCTAGTTGGGAAAGGGGGGGGCTGGGCTGCCAGCGATGCTGGGATGCTGGGATGCTGGGGCACGCACGTAGCGAGCGGGCTCCGGCTGCGAGTCCTGCGACTGTGACGGAGATTCTGTTCTCCCGATCGCCAGAGCCCTTGTTCTGCTAGCGGTGTTTCGTGGCAAGGCCACGCACGTTCGTGGGTTTGCAGGTGTGACACGCCTAAGTCACGTCGAGCCGTTCAAAACAGCATCTCACATGACCCAGGCCGCAAGTCGCCCCTTCAGAGGACATTCCCTCTGTGCCACAAGCAGTGCCTGAGCTTTGACCAGGCATGATTATTTCTGACGAGAACCCCCATGCATCTGCTCGTGGCATGGTTCAGGAGCAAAGCCACTTCTGGTGACGTGGAAGTGGGCACAACCCGGCTCCGGAAGTTCGCGAGGCATTGCATGAGTCTGCGAGAGAGCTCTTTTTGCCCTGTCTTCGTGATTTTTGGTGGAACTTCCGTCAGCCAGGGTGCCGAAGGCGCTGCAGGGCGCTGCAGAGCGCTGCAGGTGCTTCTCTCACATGCAGCAGATGTTTTAAAGAGTTGGGGAAAACCACGACACCGGCCTTGCCTCCACAGACAATTGAAATCCAGGTGTCGTCGGGCGGATTTGTGCAGCTCTTTGCATTCATTTCAGGTTCTTCAGGTTCTCAGTCAAGTCAGACAGGGTCTCGGAGGACTCGCTGAAGTCTGCAGACTGTGCAGCCTCGCACCAGGGCAACCGCAAGCCTGGCAAGCCTCCCGGCCTTGGCCTCCTCCAAAAACGAAACAGTTAAACACGAACTTCCGAGCGGCATCTGCCAGGGCTTCCGCCGCGGTCTGCCCCTCCTAGATAAAAGCGGTCAGAGAGTTTGTTTCAAGAGCTTTCTCGGTAAAGACCGAGGCAGGGCTTGTGTGGCTCCTGGAGGGCCATGCCAGTGTCCAGGGATGCCAAGGCCTGGCATAAAGCAGCGAAAATCGAACATGCATCATGTAGGGAGACAGGCCGAGATAAGACTGTGTGTAGAACGAAGGAGGCACTGCTGTGGACGTTGACGTCACGATGCCTAAAACACACTCACTCTCGTTCTGCTCGTTACAACATCGTGTTCAAGAACCATGGCAGGGACACTGACGCCGGAAGGTTCGCGTTTATGGAACTTGATTTCGTTGATGCAAACTGCACTAAAATATACACCAACCTAACCTAACAGTGATGCTTTGAGGGGTGCTGAATAAGTTGGCTCAGCAAGCTACGGCCAACACTTCGTTTCTGGTCAACAGAACCACAGCGTTGGCAGACGGCCCTCAGCGATTACACGCTCTCTGACTGGAGGCAGTGTGGGCTTCACCGCAAAACGGTTCGGGCCCTTTGCTCAGAGCGGAGCCTCACCGATGCCGGCGGTGACCGAGGCCTCCCCGGTGAAGAGACCCAGCACGTCCAGGGCGGTGGAAGCCGTCGCGACCTCGGATGCGCTTTGAATGCTTGAGTCTGCTTGAGGTTTGAGGTTTGCAGCTTGAAGGTGATGAGAGGTGGCAACGTGCACGTCGGGATTGAGAAGCCACTGCAGGGTTCAACACAGAGTGAGGCAAAGGCAGAAGCCCAAGCCCTGAGGCTCCCAGCAAAAGCGATGAACTTCTGCGTGTTCTCGTTCTTCCACGCCGCCTTCGGGGTGGAACTCTGGGCACTTACATATCCAAGCTGGAAGCTTGGGAAACGCCTTGATCTTGTCCCCAATCGTTTCCTCCTCGTACCTCAGAGAATGTCATAGACTCGTAGGACGTGCGGCGAGTCGCTGCGGCGCCGGGTCCCCCGGCTTGGCAGGCTCCGGGGCCTTGGAGCCGAAGAACTGCACTGCAGCGCGACTCGGTGCCCGAGGAGCCCCTGCCCTCAGCAGAAACGCACACACACACACACAGACACATGCGTGAAAGGGCAGAAGCATGCCTCCGACAGGCGTGGGTCCCTCTCTTTTGAACCTGGGTCCTGGCCTGGGCGTGACGAACGACAGGGCGGAAAACGCAGAGCCCAGCAGCAGCGCTGCAATCCCACAGGCCAAGAGCCTTCCACGTGCCAAGGAGGTGCCAAGGAGTGTACTTTCCCTTGCGGAGTGGAGAAGAACCTTGTACCGCGGGGACGGTGGAGGGCGCGAAAGGCCATGCTGGGCCTCGGAGTGCAAGGCGAAGGCAGAGGCAGAGGCAAGGAAGGCCCTGAAGGCCCTATGAAGGTCGCAACTGCGAGCAGGGCCGCGGGCTGTGTCACGTTCTGAGGCACAGGTCTCGGCCGAAAGGTCACGCTTTCGAGCTTTCGCTGCGGGGTAGCCGTGCAAGGCAATACCACCAGAGTGAACATCAAGCTGCTCTTGAACGGCTCTGAAATGCGTTGAGATTTGAACATGCGAGAGAGAGAGAGAGAGAGCAGCCCTCTGCAAAAAAAACATTCAGTGTCAACGTGCGCCCAGTGTCTGCAAACGTGTCCTGAATCATATCAACCAAGAGATAACAGTTCAATGACTGACTTGGACTAGCAAACACTTTGCTCGTGATTTAAACGCTTAAACGCGAAGACAGGCCGACGAGCCATGTGAAGTTGCGGCGGTGGCGTGAAGCGAGAGGGTGCTGGAACTTCAGGACGCGAGCTCCTGGTGGAGCACCTCGGCTCGAGTGCGCGACCGCCTCGGCGGGAGGACCTGAAAAGAGGCGCTGATAACATCTTTTTAGCTCGCTTAGAAAGGGCGCCGTTCAACCGAAGGCCCGGGAGGTCTCCCGCAGAGGCCCCGGCCAGCTCCGGGCAGCGCATTGGGCAGTGCCGGCTGCGCTGGAGCCACGCGGTGATGCACTCGCCGTGGAAGACGTGCGAACCTCAAAAGGAGAGGGCCGTGCCTTTCTTGGCCCCTTCGCCCCTTCACCCCTTCACCTCCCCACTTTTTTCTCTTGTCTGGGATGCCGGCATGGCAGCTGCACCGCGGCCTCGTCCTGGTGTCACCCGCTGCAGTGGCCCGTCTACTCGAGTGATCTGTATCACGGCCTCTTCGAAGTCGCAGAGGCAAATCGCACAGGTCTGCGGCATCCCCTTGAAGAACAAAAACAATGAAAACAACAGCACCCAGAAAACTCGCAGGCGACCTCAGTACTTCATGACGCAATTGCTTGAGGCCTCCTCCGGAGTGAGCTTCACGTGCCGCGCGCGGTGGAGGGAGCGCCCCTCCGCCGGCACCTCACTCTGAAGCGCACCGGAGCAAAACGGGACGTCCGGACTGCCAGGATCATTCTGACTCGAGGGCTCTCAGCTGCCGACAGGCGGTCGCGGCTTGGTGGAGAGGGCGGCCAAGAGCGTCACCGTGTCCACGAAGCAGAGGAAGATCTGTGGATCCGAGAGGAGCAAAATCCAAAAAACGCTCAGTCAAGGCCAGCCAAGCCGCGTTGGCGACCAAGAGGATACCGAACCAAGCCTCAGTCGACACAAACAGCCAGGCCCTACCGCTACTGCCCCCAGCCCACGACCGGCCTCCTGCAAGCCCACATTCAAGGGCGTGCTAAGCAAATACCTCAGCAGAGCACAAGCCGAATCTGTGAGTAGGGGAACGGTACTGCCTTCTTTCATCAAGAAACCACATGTCCAGTGTGATGGCCACGCCCCATCGCACTTCTGCCGCCTGCCTTAGCACGGATTGACAGTGCGCGACCATGCAAAGCAGATGGTCCGGGTGTGAAACGGAGTTACTCAGATCCCCACAACATGCCGGTGTAACCCTCCATCCTGGACTGGAAAGCACGTGCCACACTTCACTCTATGGTTCCTCTGACGCTGCGAAGTGCCTCCATCGCAGGAACTCCGGGATGCAGCACCTCCAGAGTCGGGGCCTCGGAGAAGGACCCCACCGCTCCACTCCGCGTGAACGAGCGCGTGAACGCGGCGTGAACGTCTCTGAAACCTGCCGAGGGTCAGCAGGAGGCAGCGCGCGAGAGCCCCGATCACCGGAGCCAGCCTGAAGAGGCGAAGAGGCTCCAAGGAAGAAAGGGAGAGGAGGGACACGCCACTCTCTTCGAGGCCTCACCACAGACACGGCCAGCCGCAGCACCAGAGGCCAGGGGCCCTGAGGACCGTGAGCAGCCGTGAGCCGCGAGCTGAGGCGCTGAGGCGCTTCCGGAGCACTTCCGCCCCGGGCTCCCCGGCAATGGACAGGGACATCAACTCTATCTCGGCGAAGATGCTTGGGATCACCACTGCCACCTCGCTCCGAGCGACTCGTCGGAAGGTCGCTCTTGGCCGAGTCTCAGGTTCCCCCGTCCCCGCCTCCAGCACACCGCAGGCCACCACGAGGAGCCGGGCCATCAGCCGCCCGAGCCTGATTTCAGGCACGTTGCACGCGCGGCCGTGGCCGTAAACGCTGGGAGCCCCCCGCCAGCTCGAGTTCGGCGTCAGCCAGCTCATGGAACCCAACCTCTGACGAAGGCAAAGCGCGGAGCAAAACGCAAGAACGCCGTCTTCTCGGCGCACGAGTCCGAGTCCGAGCTCGTCATGCTCGAGGCCTTGACAGAGAGCACAGCATGCACAGCGCTGTCGGATGCTTTCGGAGCGGAGCGCCATCCTCTCGGGCGCCGGGCCAGGCCGGGGCCCAGGGCTTCCGCGCGCTCGCGGAGGGCCATCCTGAGTCTCTGCATCCGAAAGGGACCTTTTCCCCTGTTCCCCTTTTCCCCCCCAAGAACGTCCTGGACTCGGCTCCCCTCGCCTCTGCCAACGCATGGCGACGGCTGCCACGAGAAGCTTTCGTTTTCTGAGGATGCTGGTCTGTGCTGTCTTCAATAGAAAAGGAGTACCACCATTGATGCTGCCCGCACCCCGACGGGTCGCTGCTGCCTGTGCTTGCGAGCCAAGGTGCAAGCAGGCCAATGTCGCATGAAAACTTCTCAGAGCATGCAACGTCAAACGCGCAAGCATGGGAAGCTGAGACAGCCACGGTCGCTAGGATGCTAAGCTGTCGCTAGCATCCTAGGATGCGACTCGGGAGAGCGACACATCCATTGCGCGGCAGAATTCAGCCCGGAGCAATAAAGCTGGATGCTGGGCCTCGTGACGGTGTCTGCGTGTTCTACTCTCACAAGAGTGTAACTAAGCCGCAGGCACCCAGGACCAAAATTTTTACAAGTGCCTTGGCTTGTCTGGGACAGCTTCGCGCGGAGCGAAGAGACAATTTGCTTTCATCCCGACCCCGCCGAGCTGCCCGGTGGGTGGCCTCTTTCAGCTCGCAGCTGCTGGAAGCCGTGGTCGCCTGGACAGGGAATCGAGATGCAGCAGGACGCATGATGACACAGGGAAACTCATGCAGAATCCAGCGGGCAGTGCTCTTGCGGTCGCCTGAATCAGCGGGAAGAGGGATGCCTGGACTGCGAGATATGTGATGAAGCTGCAAAACCTGAACAACACTTTCGCTCATTCCAACAGTGGGACGAGGCACTCCGAATAGCGGCGACCTCGGTACAAGGTGCAGTCAAGAAGCCCTCCCAATACCTCCCACACGGGGGGCCCCAGGGGCGGGGGTATTTCACCATGTCTTTGTGCCGCTGCGGGTCATCGTCTGCACCCGGTGCCGCTGGCTGAGCTCCTGAAAGCCGGCGACCCAGTAGGCTGACGGGACCTGGCGCGAGTCCACGCCGCGGCAAGAGTTGTCCATCGGCATCGGGGACACGGGCCTTCTCTGGACGAAGACCGTCTGCGGGAACCAGCTGGCTCCACACCAGGCCGAGGCAGAACCTAAACTGAAACCAGACGCAACGCAAAAACAATGCGCAAAAGGGCTTCCGTAGGGTTTGTTCCCCCTAAAAACTCCATAAAACCTGTGCAAATCCTAAACCCTCAATCCGAAACCACCCTTCCGTGGCTTCTTCAGTTACTGGGCTTCCGGCAAGCCGAGGGCGAACTCTCGAGGCGGGCTCCGGGAGGAGTTTGCCTTTTACGGAACAGACGAAGATCTCTCATGCATGTGAGCATACATATACATATGTATGTATGTATGTATGTATGTATGTATGTATGTATGTACGTAGGTTTTTATGTATGTATTTCCCTCACCCCTACCAGAGCGTACCATCGGCGGGGAACGCCAGATGCCTGACCATATATGTAGAGAGAGACAGACACAGACACAGAGACGGACACAGACGCAGACACCGACACGGACACAGGCACAGACGGACAGATAGACAGATACATAAGCAGATATCTAGCTCTCTGTTTATCTATCTGTTATATATATATATATGTGTATACATAAAATCTGCTTATATGCTACCCCGCTGTACCCACACTTTGTGCTTGAATCGCCTGGGATTGTCGTCGTGTCCCTACAAGGTTTACCTTTCCAATCTCCACTCTTCTTGGTCATATGTACATTGAAATACTAACATGTTCTTCTATGCCAGTATCAAAATCTAGTTGCACTGCTACATTCACCAATGATATTGTTGCTATTTCTTTATTACTGCGGTTGTACACACCGTTCTGGTTGCTTCAGTAATACCAACCCAGTTAACACTCTGCACCTTCCCTTGTCTTACTACGTCTGAATAAGGACTACTTTCCTAGGCACTTTGCTCCTGTGATTCTCAGAGTAAGCGACTATTTCAAACTATGGAAATATCTATCTACATATCTACATATACTCTTATACTTATATATACGAAGATGCCTAAACAACACAAAAGAAGACGTTCCTGCACAAAGCACAGGCGGTGGTGGGACGGGACTCGCCTCCACGAAGAGGAGCAGGCGAGCGAAGTACATGGCCCGGGTCTTGACCTGGCTGGCGACGCGGCCACGTCGCTGCGGGGCCCCAGCCCACGAAACGGCCGTCTCGTGCTTGTGATCGGTTAAGATGTTGAAGCGCTGGCAGTACCTCCAAACCAAAGCAAGGCCGAAGCAGAATGCAGTTGAGGTCAGAAGTTCTCCAAAAACTGGCTCACGTGGAGAGCCACTGCTGCAGGAGCGGAGCGTCGATCTGCCACTGCAGGACCTCTATGTGAGCGCGTGCGCTCGCAGGGCATTAGACTTCCGTGCAGTGGATGCAGGCCTCGAGGATGTCAATCTCATGCTGACCTCACAGGGTGATGAAGGAATGGACAAATGCTTCCCGGCTCATCCCTTAGAATCTGAGGGTTCGTCTGAGCATGATTTCGGTAAACTCCAGGCTCTCCATTTGGTGGCCTTGCGACGGGCTCTCGGTCAGCGAGCCGAGGCATGCCGAGGCATGCCGAGGCATGCGGCATGCGCCGACAAGCTGTGCCTTGGTCTTGCATCGCTTTGGCCAGCTGCCGGGCTCCGTCGAGCCACTGAGCAGAGGTGGAGCCTCGAGCTGAAAGGTGGAGACATGCCTGCCTGCATTTTGCATTGACGCTTCTCCGAGGCAGTGACCAAATTGGTCGGCGACGTTGCCGTGGAACTTCTTCACCAACCTCACCTTTCGGGCGCGACTCGCAAGAGGAAGCAACCCTCCGGGACCTGCCGAGAGCATCGCCACGGCGACGCAGGTCAGGGGCAGCTTGCTGATGTCAAGTTCCTTAACAAAGGAGGCATCCCTGTACCCGTTCGTATGATTAATTGCCTCAGGTGCAAGTCTGCAGGGTCAGAACTAGAGAACCAGAGCATGTCACTACCGCACTCTTGCACACAAAACAACCATGTCTTCTATTGCGACAGTGAGACCCTTTATTGTTGCTTTGCAAGTTGTCCTCACACGTGCACTTGGTCCAGAAGCAGAAGCAGTGTGGTTCCGTCTTGCGCTCTGAGAGAATTACGCTGTCGTTGCTTCATACAGTCGGCAAGGCCTGTTGAAGCAGCGCGTTAATTAACACGGATACCAAAGGCAATGCGACAAAAGCAAACATGGCAAATGCACAAGTAGTGCAGCGTTCATCGAACTGACCGGCATGGGGAGATCGAGCTCTGTCTGAGCCCGCCGAGCAGCACAGATGTTGCGCTTTTCAGAGTTCTCAACAACTAATCATGTGAAATCAATGCAGAGTTGTTCCGCACTGTGGCCCGAGCTCCAGCTTTGGCCAGGTAGGAGTCGATTACGGACACAGCGGTGTACCAACCTAGGCGGGAGAAGAGACAGAGTAGGGCAGAAAGTCGAGAGGGGGCTCTCGCGGGCCGGGGCTCCGGCTGTCTTGATCTAGGCGGTGGTAGCTACAGAGTACCATCATGCCCTGGAGCACCATGGGCCGCAGCCCGGCCAGTACCTCTTGCACAAGGCAAAAGAACCTTCGTGAGACTCTGACCGCAAAAGCGCCGCACGTCCTCCGGTGACACGCTCTCCAGCGCCTTGCTGCGGCAAAGAGGAAAGCCCGGAGAGTCTCTGAACCACTCGAGCTGTGCCCTCGCGCCTCCTTCTCTTCTTGTAACAGCTGCTCGAGGCGCTCGTTCGATGCACCTACCAGTAAGTTGGATGGAACTCACAAGCTCTCCGATAGCACAGGTGCCCGGCCGTAGCGATGCAGCGAGTCCTCGAAGTCCTCTTGCTGGCACAAGCACAGATGCAGCTCGAACGTTGAGGCGGGCAGGCGTCGCAGCATCGCAGTCCTTCGTGAGCACAAGAGGATCCAGAAGATGGCCATTCATCAGACCACCTCACAACAGCATGCAAAGCGACCGAGCTGAGAGGTCTTGACGGCCTTGCAGGAGAGGAAGGACGACCCGATGCAAATCCGGTCCTGGGTTGGAGCCGTCTCCCCATTCCATAATGCACAGTCGACGTGATGTCAGTCCGATGTTCAACCCGAGCCCGGGGCCCGCATCTTGCAGCTCTTGGGCCTTGGGTAGTGCGAGCGGGGCCCTTTCTGACACGAAGCGTGCACATGTACGTACTGGGGGTGGTGCTGCGATGACCACGGTATCAGCGGTCTTCGACATCCTGCCACGAGCGCGAGTGAGTCTCTACGCCGACAAGACGAGCTCCAGCCTGGCCCTGCACAGATGCCACCGGTATGTCCAGCTAACCGGATGTCTCTGGAGAGGAAACGGCAACATGAAACCTTCCTTTGCGCAGTCGGCATGTACTCTGCGGTACTCTGTCAACTAGGCTGTCAACTAGGGGCACGAGTCAAGGGCAGACGGCAACTGTTTTGGAGTCGTGTTGAAGGCAACAGCACTTGTGGCTGGCAGCTTCGGCGGCTTTGGCAGTAAGGCACCAGCAACCTGCCAGGGCCGGCTGGAGAGCCAAAGCAGTGACAGCTCCTCTCTGCCTTGGACGCCCCGTAGCCGCCGGAGGCTTCGGCTAAAAGAGGTCGGCGCGGAGCGTCTGCCCCTGCCTAGAGTTCAGTTCTGGGCTTTCCGCACGTTGCATGCTTGGCAAGGATGCCGCCTCCTGCTCCTCCCGCAGGTACACGACACCCTGACGGCCAGCCGAAAGGAGAAAAAGAGAAGGAGCTGGAGCAGCTGGGTTTCGACTCCAAGTGCGAAGCTGCTAAACTCTCTTCTGCCGCACCAACTACCCAGCAGTCTGTCCAGAGAAAAAAAGTGCGGAGACATGGCCCACGCCCTTCTTGGCTGCCCCTCAAGCCTGCAGGAGTGCCACCGAGGAAACGGAGTGACTTACGCCCCAGAAGCAATCATTAAGCTTGCGCGAGACAACCTCGGGAGGGAGGAAAACATAAGTGAAGCCAAAACCCGGCATGGCACATCCCTGAGTTGCGCCGTAAAGACGGCGAACTGAAACCACAAGCCCTAACCCGAAGAAGCCATAGGCTTGACTAGAGGGCAGCTAAACCAACTAGGACTGAACCCGAAAACGAATAGTGTAGCACCAAACCGGGAAAATCCCCAAAGGCTGGTAGACCTTGAACCTGCACAAATCAACAGCTCCACGGACCTCGGGCAGACCGAATGGAAGCTGGGCCGCATAGCCGGCGCCGGCGTCGGCACAGATCAGGCCTCGCCAAAAGTGTTGTGAACACAGGCCGCGGGCCCGGAGACAAGGGTGACAAGGGTGCCCAGGGTGCATGTGTTGCCAAGAAGAGGCAGAAGAGTCATGAGGTACCCGCCGATCAACTCGAGAAGCACGCTCAGGCCACCCATACGCTCCAAGGTTTCTGAACCTGTTCGCAGACAACTTTGGCGGGTCAACTCTCAACTGTTGTCGGACGGTTGCTGGGGCGAGGGCCGAATCGCTCTGCCAGTCGCTTTTCGTCCACCCAACTCTCGGTGGCCTCCACAGATAAACAGCTCTGCAGAACCTCCTGCAGCAAAAGAGAAAAGGGCCTCCCCAGCATAGTGGCAACATGTGAGCACGGTCTCCTGGCAAAATCATTGCAGCTCCACGGGGTTCCCTCGGTTCCCTCCCTCTCTTTCCCGACTCCTCGTCCAGGAGCCATGTCGCTTTAAGGTTGGGGACTTGTACCAATTGCCCGCTCCGTTGAGAGAGTTCCTGGGCAATCATTCCCAAAGCACCCTCGTCCCCACTCGACGCTGACAGAAACACGGCAGCCGTACTTGGGTTACGACCGTGAACAGAGTATGCTACTCTTAAAATTGCATGCCAAGGCCCCTGGCCACTTCTCAACAAGCCGAGCACGAGAGTTCTCACCGGTTCGGCCCGAGCGCAGCAGGTTGCGAAATCGCTGCACTGAAGCACGAAACGTCCCACCTTCTCTGAGCACCTTAAGCCTCAGCCCGTGCAATCTTCTGCAGTTGGGCCCTGGACCCAGGTTGGAGAGGGGTCCGCACAGGACCGCTGCTCGTAAACTCCTCACTGGGGCGTGGATTGTTCTTTGACACGACTGGCAATGCAGGGATTCTGCAACGGTCTTACAAACGGAGCTGTCTTTCGAACATGCCAACCGCCCAGTACAAAAAGTTGCGTGATCTGCAGGCTACGTGAAATCTCAGTGTCGGCCCTCCTCGCATGCCGACTATCGAAAAATCCATCTTCAGGCAACGAACCTCGTGCGCTTGTCATGCCTCTGTGCTCTGGAGCTCTGGAGAGCAAAGCCACGGCCACTCTCCAAGGCTGCAGCGGAAGAAGCAAAGGTCACTTCGTGAGAGTGTACCTCAGATATCACGAAACGCATCTTCTCCAAGCGCATATTGAGGGAGGTGCTGAGAATGGGACATGCAGGCGGTCAAAAATCTCGTTGATGATGCTACAATCTTTGCCTCCGGCTCGAGGCACAAGCTCAATCCGAAGTTGAGACTCACCACATCCGCCTTCAGATTGCTGCCAGACCCTGAAACGTGAGTTCACAATCCTTGGAGGGCAACTCTCAAATGACCATGCTGCTCCACGGGACTTCCCGAGGCCATGTCCTCATCTTGGGATCATGTCCTTGCGTGGTGACCTCTTCTGCCTCCGCGGTTCCCTCACCTGGCCACCAACTCTCAGCTCTCAGACCAGCGACCAGCGAGCAGCCAAAAGAGGGTTCTCGACCTGGTCCTTCGCCTTCGCTATCGTCAGCGCTCTCATACAGCTCGTCAGCTTCCAATGTTGAGTACCTGCAAGACATGCTGCACAGACTCTTCCTGCACATCGCAAGACATCTGGACGCTAGCCAAGAGGCACTATGGGCCCTGCAGAGAATGAGTCCATAGGCGTCGGTGAGAAGCGATCTTTGGCTTGGCTTGTGTGTCAACGCTTTCAGTATCTTTCTCAATGCCTCCTGAACTTCCTTGTCAGCATGACAACTGCAGGCAGGGGCAAACTCGAGCGATGTCTAGTTAATTTGAGAATTCGCCGGCCGGACACACTTCCGAGAAAGGTCTAGAGTCTAGACACCTTCTTTTACCTGATTGCTCGAAACAGGCTCTGCTAACGCCGGCCGTGGTGATATCTGCAATAGCACAATGTAAAAGTAGCTTTTCTTTTCTCTCTGCGCTCCGCAAGCAGCAAGCACCCCGTCCCCGAACACGACGGGACCGATGGGTGTCCTCAGGAAACTCTTGCCAACATAATCGAAGTCGATCGCAAAGCCGTGGTATGCCAGAAAAGACCGCACTTGCCGGTGAATCATGCGCCCATGCGTGCCAACGAAGAGGTGCTGCACTTGCCTGCAAAGCCGGGACGCTCACAGAATCGCCGGCCGGCATCCCTCAATCCAAAAGCCGCACAGTGCAACCCAGAGGCGGCAAGCGGACGCTCCTCTGCACAAGCTCCAACTCTGCCTGAACAAGTAAGGCCGTAACGGCGGTCGTGGCAACATTCCCGACACAAGCAAATAGCTACTGAAACCCCACCTGTCACTCAACTTTGGGCACGGTGTGTCTGTGACGCGTAACACTGACGCATGACGTGTAAAGTCTCTGAAAATGCACACATGCCTCCTGGATGTCGACATGCAACAGATCGACTGTCCCGAAAAAATCGATGAGTCTATCCAGCAACGATGCAGTTGCCCTGGACTGGAAAAAGGTGATGTTGCACAGGTCGTAAATGCCGTTCCGCTGGAGGTTCGCCGCGGCAGAAGACGCAGGTACAATCGAGTCAATCAAGACCAAATGACAAGCTCCAGTGTCGGGAAATCGACGCCTGAAAGCTTTCGCGGCCTTTGGTGCCCAGTAGCCAACGCTAGCACCCGCCTCTACCACAACAAAGGTGCTTGTGCTGGTCGCAGTCCGTACTGCTTGGAGTAAGCAAAGGGTCTCGAAGTAGTCCTCACCGGCCACAGGGCCCCAAGGCAGGCCCAGGCACTCGAGCATGCGCGTCATCTCAGGCTGAGTCTGAGGCCTTTCGCTCTCCAAGCCTTCCGCACAGTCTTGGACAAGCCCGAGCCAATCAGTCGCTTTCTGGCGTAATTTAGGGGGCCTTCTGGGGATCTGCATAGCATCCTGGCAGGACGGCGACCAGGATTGCACCAAGTCGTCGTGCGAGAAGCACTCTTCTGGCTCCCAAGCGTTGTAAACAGCGCACTTGTGCCCCAAGGCTTTGCACCTCGCTGTGTGGTTTGCCAAAAGCCGCAACAACTTGGCTCCCTTTCGCTGAAACTCCCCACCAGAGCCGAGCTGCGTGTGCTTGCTGTAAGCAGCTTTCCACCAAGTCTTGTGTTGGCGATCCTGCTTCAGCTCTGCGACTCGTTGCTCAAAACTGTCCAAAATAGGAAACTGTTTGTGCACAGAAGCCGTCGAACATGTGCTGTTGAGCTCGTCCGACACTACATCATAAAGGACTGCCATGGCGAGCATGGCACGCGAACATCTTGTAATGTGTTGCCCTGGCCGAGCCGGGCCCTCCTGAAATGCTAAAAAATCCAAGCACAAGTTCCGTACTTCGCTGGGCTCCACGAAGTGATGGCCACCGTCCAGGTTATGCACACGTCGGATGAGTCGCGCAGCCTTGTGGCACAAGGACGGAGAGTCCGTCAAGCAGTCTTCAAGCAAATCCATGTCACAGACGGCGTCCAACCAAGGAGAGCGCAGAGGCTCTCCTGCCCGTGTAAGAATGCAGCACGCAGACAGCACGCCGAGGAGGATCCAGCTGATGAAGCGTCCCCGCCGCCCCCGCCACGGACCCATACCAAGCTGGCCACCACAAAGAGATCCTGAAGACAACCATTGGAGTTTTCATGTTGTTCGATCGCATTAATTTGACGACTGAACAAGCAATACTTCAGGCATCAATTCCAAGCTTCGATGGAACCCTGTGCCAGCCCACGTTTATGCGAAGCGCGCACGTGGCAGGCCATGTTCCAAGACTCAATAACACCACGAATGTAGGGGATCTACGAAAGCACCCGTTACCTTCGTTCGAGCTCAAGATGCCACAACAGGCCACAGCATCAACCACCTTGGATCGGCACCTCACACAACGCTTGGGCTCCGCGCTCCAACAATGACAACGTTAGACAACCAACAAACCTCTCGACACTGGCCTTACCTACATGATGCCGTCAGTACAGGGTAAACTCCCAGGATGCTGCCGGTAGCAGAGGGTTGCTGCAATAGATCCATTCACCCTGGATTGAAGTCTCGCAGCTGTCGGGCCGCTTGTGCTTCATCTGACAGGTTTAGTCCGTGTTGGAATTTGCTGCTTCACGTCCTCCACAATATTATCTGGTCAGGCGGAACGGTTTCATCGGAAAACCGCAGATCCCCACATGTCGAAACGCAACTGAGCTTGTCCATGATGTAAAAAAGGTTGATGTCCCTGCCTGTGTCTTTTGCGCAAGCATCTCGCAACTCGCAACCTCCTAAACCATGGACGGTACAGCCGGAAACGATACGTACCCTTTAAACTTCCCAGACTCAACACGTGGACTTGAACTGAGCTGCTTTGCCAACGCTTTTTTGGGGAGCTGCTGTTGCCGTTTCTCTCCTCTGGACCTGGATCTGCACAAGCGGGAAGCAAGGTGTGGATCAAAAGGATTGTTGTTGGGAAACACCAAATCACTCCACTCCAAGGCTCTTTGAAAATTCTGTGCCTGTCAGGAGGCAGCACATGGTGGAAACTCACGGTTAGACTGTTACCAGGGCCATGGAGGACTTCGAGGAGTGTACTATCGCCATGACGGCGCATGGTCGGAAGCGAACAGGGGACTGATGTCATCCAGCGAAGAAGGTCCAGGTGCGCAAGACGGAGACCAAGAAGAAGGTGAAAGATGTCAGCTGAGAAGAAGCGCGAACAGAAAGATGCAAGTTTGCAGCGCTCAAACTCCAGCGCTGCTGAGCACACGCACTTCAGCAGATCTGCTGATGGCAGCACGAATTCGAAGCAATCTGCCCTGTGAGTGGAGCGACGGCAAAACCTCCGAAAAGAAAAGTCATCGAAACCAAGTGTTGGACTCAGTTGTGACTTGCTGACGTCGCTTCTTCCTTCATCCAGCGCCCGGGAGAAGAGTTTGACATGACAAGCTTCTTTCCTTCTTTTCAATTGTCTCAAAGCCAATGGAAGTACGGGGCAAACATGACATTCAAACAGGATGAGCGAAGCTCGGTTTGAGGTCAGTCCTTCAGATCATCCACTTGACGTCGCTCACCAAAGCGTGGACAACCAGGTTTTGCGAGGAAAATACAAGAGAAGCACCAACGCCAAAAGAATAGAAGTCACACGAAACTTTGATCAGAGTGACGCGCGAGCTCTAACTTGGACATTTCAAAGGCTCCGTCCCCAGCAAAGCTTAAGAGGACTTGGACACTTGCGAAGAGAGCTTTGAAGTGTTGAATTTAATCCAAATGCAGATGGACCTGCAGGTTCCCCTTCAAGCTTCAAGCCTTCAAGACCCCTTCAAGCCCCTTCAAGCCCTCCAAGCCCCTCTTAAGCGATTCACCCCCCTTAAAGCCTCCTTGAAGCCCTCTTCGAACCCTTGAAGGAAGGCTTAAAGGGGGGAATTTTGGGTCCTCCCTGAAAGGGGAGGGAGGCTTGAAAGGGGGCCTTAAGTCCCTTTCGTCCGAAGGCGTGGAGCTGGCCAAATGACAGGGAGAGAATTGGACCAAATTTTGCCGACGGCCTGTTCCTGCGACTTCTTAAAAAAATTTTTGTGTATCGGCTTTTTCTGCCACCTTGATCTTGTTCCTTATCTTTGTCGTCTTTGCTTGCCTGGCATAATTTGGTTCAATCCTGTCTGTTTGCAGGTGATCTGCAATCTTATTCATCTTTTCATGGAAGAAAGCAAATCAAAGAAAACCGTCTCTACCTGTCTTCCACATGAATGCAGAATGCAACGACTCAGCATTGCTTAGACGGCCAGTTGAGAAATTCTGCAGTTGATCATTTTCGTTTCTAAGACCATGTCTATTAAACGTGCTCGATCTTCTTTTTAGAGATTTAGAAGGTTTGTGGGATTGACATTCAACGAGAAGATTCAGCTGCCAGCATTAGCTTTTGGGTTCGTCTTTGCCAAACTTGCCCAAATCCTTCTATCCCTTGCCTTTCTTTTCCTTTTCTTGCCTTTGCTCTTGCTACTGTGACTGGAAAGGTAACCGCAACGTCTTCTACTTCGCTTTTTGGGCCATTTCTGGCAAGAATCCTCGAAAAGTTTTTGGCAGCATGCAATAACGAACACAAAACTTCGGCACAAAGCAAAATTGAGCCAAAAAACCGACTTAACAGACGTTCAATTGGAGAACATGTGTGAAGGTCCACAGACGTACAAGCTCAAAATTTGTCCTTAAACTTCTTTTTTTTGCTTTTGCTTGCTTTGTTGGAGAGATTGTCTTCTGCTTCAACAAGTGTAGTGTTAGAGTGCCTTAAATTCAGTTTCTAGTTGCTCAAAGAAAAATATGGCACGAATTTTTACCACAGATAAAAATAGTTTGGAAGATTCACTTTGATTTCAAGTGTAAGTTTTGAGAACTGTCTTGATTTCAAAGAATTCTTTACAATGTTGCAAACTTGCATGAGCTCGACTTAACTTTCTCAAAAAATGCAGAAAATCGTGTTTTTTGGAGAGCAGTTGAAATGTCTCAAGTTGGAGTTTGTGGTGCAGAAAACTTCCAAGGACTTCACGAAGTTCGATTTGGTGGTAATCTGCCAATGCGTCATCAAGGATGTCAACATTTGTCGCTGATCCTGTGTAAGGTTGGACAGAGACACGAAGATGAAGGCTACCAACTTGGCTGATACTGCAATCGTCTTGGTGGGTGCTGGTCACGAAGCCGATTGTTGGCTCTCTGCATCGCCTCCTCGTTCGTAAGTTCTTCTTGTTCTTTTGCTGGAAGTCCTGCCACGAACCTCTGACCTTTGCGTTGTTGGGATCCGTGATGGGAATTTTCCGTGTCGTTCCACGCTTCCTGCATCCAACGGAGCATGTCTCCATTTCCGCGGTGCAAGTTCATGAACTGCTGGAAGTGGTAGAGGAAGACATTGGCTGCGCC